ATGCCTTCGTCGTACAAAATCTCAGCTATCTCCATCCATCCACATGCCAGCCCCGTCTCATTTACCATGTTCAAATCCGGGTGGTCACCAGGGCCCATTGCCATCCCGCTTATGCTGCCGGCCAAGTGCCGTCGGAATCGCGGCCGCCCTTTATCGAAATTGGTCTGCATGGCCGCGGCGACCATAACGAACCACACCCACCCCCGCCACCCACCTCCATCCTCCTCACCCGCCTTCTGAGCCCGCCATTGGATCATGCGGTGCATCGTCGTCCCCGGCCATTCCTCCTTGGTTTGCTGCACCAGCACATATCGCTCCAAGAGCTTGACCGCGCGCCGATAGTGGAAGTCATCCCACTCTCCATCCCGCACCTGGAGCATGGTCTGAAGCCAATCGGGCACCAAATTATTTACATTGATCGCCATGCGACGCACCATGGCCTCCCACCCTACACTAGCCAGCCGAAATAGCTCGTGATGCGCGGTACCACTGTCGAGGTGCGCCATCAGAATCAAATATTCTAGTGCCCGGGAGTGACCAGCCTTCTGCAGCGCGCCGAAACTCGTGTCCCACAAGGTCCATACCGTCTTCTGATAGTCCGACAACTCATCCCGTTGGCTGTATCGGAGCATATCATCGCGGTGCGCGTCAAAGTCCTGGAGATACTGCTGCAGCACCTTGTGGACAGTCTCCACTGGGATCAAATCCGGCGACCCGCCATGGGCGCGATCAATCTCGTCCGCCAAGACAGCCCCTGCCATATCCACCGCCAGCGCCAAGCATCCCATCCGCTGCGCAATCGCATCGACCAGCTCCCCATTCTCTGCCGATACGTGCCTGCTTTTCACTCTCATACGCTTCACCAGCAATGTATACGCCTCGCTGCTCTGCATTGAATCCACCAGTAGCCGCGCCGGCCGCACTTCAAACAGCTGGGACGACTGCTGCGTTTGGCTCGTCACGATCACGTGACCTCGCCGTCCACGGGGAATAATGGCCTTCAAGTCATGACCAACCTCGTCGGCATTGTCCACCACGACCAACCAGCGCGCATCACCCTCGTCGCGATCCGCCAACCACTCTCGGACCCGCGACACGAGTGGCGATCGCGACAATGGGCCCTCCTGGTCGGTGGGGCTTGGCTCATCCGACAACTTCAACGCCGTCGCCGCCACCTGGAAGCTGTGTCGAAGACTGTGCATTGTCGATGCGTCCAACCACAGAACCGGATTGTACCGGTGTCGGTGTTCTTTAATGTACTGCAATGTGAGCTGTGTTTTGCCGACACCACCCACGCCGTAAATCACCAATGCGCGGAAGCCGTCATCATCACCGTCGGTCAACGGCCACAGGTGTTGTTCAATCTCCCGCGATAGCTCGTACCGTTCAGTATACATGGGCGCACGACTGATCGGTCGGATCTCTATCGGCGGCAGCTGTGGCGGCAGGAGATCCCGGAGCATATTTCGCAGCGTCTGGTACCCTTCATCGGTGCGCGCAGCAAACTTGTTCAATCCGCTGTGGTCCACTGCAACGCTCACGTTCTGCACATACTGGGTGCCCGTATATGTGGCGGAGCTCTCGCGCACCACCTGCTGTACCGTGAGTACCCTCCTCATGTCACTTTCATCACGACTGCGGGAAACGTACCAGCTGGGCCCACTGTAACGTCCCACACCGCACCATCACCGTCGGCCGCTGCTCGAACACATTGAGTACCTGTGTGAAGGCATCGCGTTCATGCTTGACAACCCGGACAAAGTGAGTGTGCAGATCATGCAAATAGGTCGAATCATAGTCCAACTCTCGCAAGATCGACGAGTCCGCCCCAATTGGCCGCAGGCACGACGCCACCAAAGTCCCGAGTGTGGTAAAGTTGGAGCCCCGATGCGGCGTGCCGAGAAACAGGATGCCTTTGGTCCGTTGCCGAATAAGTTCAAACTCGACGCCCAAGGTGTTCGCCTCCACGAGAGCCTGTAGTCGTCAGACACCCGTGACCAGCTTATCTGCGTTTTTCCCGACATCAAAGTGGGCGGTGCAGTCCACAACATGCGTCAAAGAGTCCAGAGAGGAGACTCTACTGACCTGCTTGACCAGAAGCCCACCGTAGCTATGGGCGACAAACACCAGCGCCCGCGCCGATCCCTGTATCGAGCTTCGGTGTCAGCCTCGACATCACCAGCTGCCGTACCCACTCTGTTCTGTCTCACCTGTGGCATTCCGCGCAGCTCATGCAACATGCGGCCCGCCAGCGTCGACAACCGCCCCTGCACTCCGTCTCGCCGCCAGCCCGAGTCATGGTTGTAGAAGAATATCCGTGTCTTTCGCCGCACCTCCGCTGGAATGTCGTCTATCCACAAGTTCGTCACCCAGCAGACCCGCTCTTGCGTCTTGTCGTGCTCGTCGGGGATCGCAGGTTTGGTGGGAGGAAGGGTGGCCGTCCAGGTGGTGTCGGGGTTGGCACCCAGGCCGTGCACGAAGACCACACTGTCCACACGTCGCGTCAGCTGACAATCATTCCCTGGCCGGTATTCGAGTTTGCGGATGGCATGACATACTCCACACCATCTGCTCGCAGTTGCGTGCCCAGGTCGGCACGCCTAAATTCGACCAGGCCCCACCGTGCTTGCGGCCGCTGCCGTCGGTCGCGACGCGACGGGATATGTCTCGTAATGCACACATATCCTAGAAGCATCAGCAAACCCAAGAGTCCTGTGCTTAATACTATCATCAAAGCCCGCGACATAGTGTGCTGCAGGAGGTTCCGGTCTTGATGCGACTAAATCCCGCGAAGCTCGAGCACTGAAAGGTGTGGAGAACTCCAATCACGTGTTCCCTCGGTCAGAAAGTAGTATTTCGCACTTCAGGGGTCGCAGAGGATATTATATGAATACTGCAGTGAGTATTGGATTGCTTACGAGACTAAGTGAGAGGATAGCAAGTCATGGTCTCCTCAAGACAAAGGAAGAGAAAGTGAAGTCAGGCTGGAAGGCGCCAAGATTGAAGACGGCTCGCAAGGGTTCGTTTGAAGCAGGGGTTGGTCGACACAGTTGGCCGGAACAGAGGCTGTTTGCCGCTAGGGTTGCAAACAGCCTCTAGGGTTGGGGCGTGTCGGCTCGCTTGCCCCACCCGTCGCTGATCCACTATCTGCACGAGTTTTGGTGGAAGGGAACCTCGACTCCGATGACCACTGTCACGCCCCAATATATTGACATTCGACTTTACTTTACGTGTTCTATTCAGTGTGTACGTTGTATCAAGTGCAGCTTCCGATAGCAGCACAAGCGATAGAATCCGATGGCTTCGTCTGCGACGCCGTTGTCTGACACGAATTCGCACGATGACTCAACTGCTGCAGTTCTACCGTTTCCCGTGAAGTCTCCTGGACAGAGCATTGCCGAACTGGATGATCCTGAACACCCCGAGAAGGACTATGGAGAACTGGCAGGCTTTGAGAGAAAGGACGAAGTAGCGACATACGTCTCCCAGGAGCTTCACACGCCAATTCTGGAGGAATTGTACCCGCGCTTATGGATTGTAGCACGAAAGACGTCGAGCAATATCGACCCGCTACATCTCCAGATTATCAAAGGTCGACAAATCCTGCTGACAGAGAATCCGCAGCTGCACCTGCTGTGGAAATATAATTATGTGTACATTAAGCCTCTGCCAGAGTGGTTGCTCGACCAGAGAGTATGGCGACAATATCTGTCGCCCCTCGACGCAGGATATCATGGGCACCTTGGTCACGCCGACAAGGGCCGCAATCCTGGGTCTCCATCAGCCGTGCACTGGCCTCATCAACGACAGGCTGCGACAGGCTTCTTGCGAAGCTATGCATTTCTCGTCCAACATCAATCAGACTTCGGAATCGCTATTGACCACAAGCTCCTACCTTCTAGCTTGGACTGGAGGACATGGACCAGATTCATCGTGCACTTCAAGCGTAAGCAGGACCACGAGGTCTCCCAGAGATATCAGTATGGCCAACTACGGCTATCGCGATTACACTGGGCGGTCCGCATTTTCGGCCCCTCCACTGCGCCTTCACGATGGTTCTACTACCTTCCGCACTGGTCAACCACACCATATCTCACCAGCATACTGGCACCGCTCGCCTTTGTCTTTGCTACGCTCTCAGTAGTCCTGTCGGCGATGCAGGTGGTAGTTGGCCTTCCAGCAGATGCGCTGGATCTTTCAGGTGTGGACGATGCCGGTCTAGAACGTATGCGACAGGCATTCTGGGTGTCATCGATCAGTCTGATCCTGGCCATGCTGCTGGTGTGGACACTGGCCATATCCATCCCTTTCGGAGTCCTGCTATGGCAATTGCGATGGGGGTATGCCAACAGGAATAAGGATCAGTCGCGTTGACGCATCTCACGACGTTTATGGCCTACACAGCCAAGTGCGAAGTCGCGGGAAACTGTACAACCGACAAGTTAGCAGTAATACGTTATTCTTTCTTATGCTTTATGCCAGGCCATATCCGAAGCCGGCGAACGCTGCCAGGCAGCTGACACAGTACAGTAACTTATCTTCGCAGCGTGTAACCACTGACATGGCAATGGCAGTGGAGAAGATTCTAGAATTTGTGCAGTAATGTAACGTGATCGAAGCATCCCAAAGCGCTCCTTGCGATTTCTCTGCATGCTGTGCTTGCATACAGTTGACATAGTGCTATACGAAGACCTGTCTCTATCGCCATTGGAGTATGGCTCCGAATCTCTCGAAGACCCGGCATGCCGAGATTGAGTACATGATCGACGCCGGGTTACGGATGTCGCCATCGGCGCAGCGCTAGAGTGCAGCCGGAATGCGGTAGGGCATATCCGCCACAACCTTCAGGACTTCGGCTGTACCCAGGCGCCGCGCAACCCAAATGGGCGACCCCGATCCCTGACGCTCGCTGCGCGGGGCCGCCCTCGAATATCTCCGTGTTTGGCCTGATCGTTACCTGGGCGAGGTGGCCGTATATCTGGCTGACGAGTTTGATGTCCTCGTGTCCGTGTCGACGATGTGTCCTGAGTTGAAGCGGGCTGGCTGGTCCAAGAAGAAAAATCGTCAAGAAGCACGGCAGAGAGACCAGGACTACGAGAAATCTACATATATAACATATCCGCATTCGACTCCCGTCGTGTCGTCTTTGTGGACGAGTCTGGTTGTAACATCCGCGATGGCTTCCGGCGACGGGGCTGGTCCCCGTTGGGTGTAACTCCGGTACAAGTGGCGCGGTTCCATCGTGGTCAGCGGTATCACATCTTGCCTGCTTATGCGCAGGAAGGAATCATTCTTGCGCGCGTTTTCCAGGGTACGACTAATGCAGCGGTCTTTGAGGAATACATTGAACAGCTACTCCCGAACTGTGTTTCCAAGGGCTATAACGTACTGGTGATGGACAATGCCTCCTTCCATCACTCTGACCATGTCAAGCAGATGTGTAATGATGCTGGTGTAGTCCTGGTGTACCTGCCACCTTACTCGCCAGACCTCAACCCGATTGAGGAATTCTTTGCTGAACTGAAAACATTCATCAAACGTCAATGGGCTGTCTACAGTGGCGCAACTGAAAAGGATTTTGCGGCGTTCTTGGAGTGGTGTGTAGAGCAAGTGGGACGAAAACAAAATAGTGCTCAAGGTCACTTCAGAAACGCGGGTCTGAAAGTTTAGATAGATTGCTAGTGAGTGCCCAAAGCGCGCAGAAGACATGTACGAAAACGAAAGCCCTATCCCATAGTCTCTTCACTCAAAACACCGCCTCTCTCACTATATCACTGGTTCCCAGCATCCGGATTGTCTACACCTGGCATTTACGGCGCTTAGCCCAAGTAGAGATACCACTTACAAATCGCTTCGCCGTCCCAATATTAACATCCTGTTCCACTAGAAAGGTGTAATCTTGATCATTATGCAGTTGATGGAGGTCACGACCTTGATCGAGCACAACGTCGCGAACCCTGTCCACTTGGGCTTTGTAGGACGGGTCTTCAACCCGAGATTTGTGCCAGTCGCTGTAGTCCCGAACAGCCCGGTCCAGCGGACTCGGGATATCGAGAGAGTCTGCAGCAATATCATCGACTGATACATTAGTTGCCTCACGCAACTCGCCATAAGCAGTAGGCACTGTGCCACGTTGAATGGGATCTGGGAAGTGATTGTTGATCGTGATAGGAGTCATTGCCGCAGACGCCTTGCTAGCGTTAGAGGGACCACGATCCCGTTTCTGTTGTGCTTCGGCATACAGTTGGAGACGGACATCCTTTGGCACGTCGTCCTGACATTCCAGCTTTGACCCCTCGCGGACAAAATCAATCAGGTTCCGCAGATGATGAGGGTAGAGCTTGTAATGTCGTTTGCCAGTAGGGTCACGCCAACAATGCGGACCAAGATCGCACGAATCAGGACACCGCATGACGCGATAGACTTGCGCCCACACCGAGGGCTCGCCGGTGCTATCCTGTTCAGCTTGCAGCTGGTTAGCTCGGTCGCTTCGCATTCGTTGTGTGGGAGAGGATCCGCCCCTCTTCCCACTGGTTCTGTTCGTTGCATTGGCTGACTGCGACGTGGACTGCACGTGGTAGAACATGATGTCAACACGAAGCTTCTTGCCGGACAGGAACAGCTCGCTCCACTGGAGGAGTTGATTCTCTACCACACGCCAGTCAATATCAGCTTCAAATCGTTTGGTCAACTTGCGCTGGGATCGACCAACGGAGACGGTGACCACCGTATGATCTGCACGGTTGTGAGGCCCCAGCTCCTTCTCCACCAAGTCTTCCACGCGACGCCGGAGTGACAGCCGCCAATACGCAGCGGGATTCAATACCAGGTCAGGCTCAGTATCTCGCAAGATTTCTTTGCCGTTCAGCATGGCCGACCACTCAATCGAATAGTGCAGACAGGTTGGCGGTTCTTCATTGTACGCTTGATCCTCCTTCCTTTCTTCTACTCGAAGGAGACCGAGCCGGGACTGGACGTTTTCGTCTCTCCTTCAGCGCCTCGACCTGCTGGGAGTCGGCGCAGGTGTCTCCAGCGGTGAGTTGACCAGGGACGCAACAGCGCTTGGGACACGTGGCATCTGGCTTTCTCTCGGCTGCACGGGCACCTGTGTGGACACATTGCGCAGATCGTACGGTTGCGGAGAAAAAATGCCATCAAATGGGTTGGAATCAGCCTCATCCATTTCGTATCGTCACAGGATGGTACTTCAAGGCCCGCCAGCTGCGTGGTCGAACACAAACGATGGTGCAGGTGTGCCAGTTGACTGCGCTCGGACCCACCTTCTGGCTCTTTCTCCAAGTCGCCCTCCCCTGTCCACCGCCCTCCCCGTACCATGTGACCGCCACACCCACCACACATATTTGCTCTTCAACACCAAAACAGTAGCGTGCGGTATCGAATTTGGTACTCATTGCATCGTAGTGTCAGTGGATCTCTCTGCGGCAGCATGATATATCGACTTCACTATTTCACTTCGGCGTCATCGTAGCTCGTAAGGATTGGCCTAGGAAATCTGAGGACGAGTTCGGCCCTACTCTTCCATGGCGAAATGCAACTCACATTCCTGTGAGAAGACTCGTTGTGTGGACAGTTATTGCGGTGTCGGCTCTCCTGGTTTGTTTTGTTCTGCAGCAGATGACAGCATTTTTGGTCGTCGCGTTCAACGCCCGGAGAAGGAGATCTGAGGGTCATATTTATTATCCTCAATGTAGAATTTGTGCTCTGCAGCTCAACTTAGCATGATGCACATGGAAGTGAGCCGGCAGAATGGTCCCTGCGCCAGGACGGGGGAGGGCGCCTTCGCTGTCGTAAGGCTTACGAAATGATTGTAAGCATCAGCGGTGTTAAACCAAAGGCAAGGTTGATTCTTTGTTTTGCAATAACGGATTGGTGGCGCAAAGCCTACCGCATTTCTGTAGGCCGAGGAAGATATTAATATATTTTCCTGGCAGCTCGGACTGCGCCAAGCTAGTCCGCAAGCTACGAATTTCGGAGCAGGTGCGGGGCCGGCGGCGCGGCGTAGGCGGGTCCGCTAGATGACGTTTATTGTTAGGAAAAATCCACGTGACTTTGCGACACGTGAATGGTTCAATGCCATTGGTCATGGCCACGGTGACCCTCCACATAAAGTCGTGGTGATGTTCTCGGCTTACCGTTCACCATGTTTACAGTACAGTATTGCCCCTGTGCATCGCCGTGGTTTTCCTCTGACTTTTGACTTCTGGACAAGACCGTTTCCCAACACCTTTTTGTGTGGTCTGTTTCTGCTTCTGGCGAACTCCATTTACTGCCCTTGCGCGGATATTTCATTACCCGAGTGTCTCCACCTCTGCCGGGGAGATCCCATTAGATCCGCAGTTGTGGGAACCAGCGGATTACGACACAACATGGCCCAGAATGTCATCTTAGTCTCAACGGCAACGACTCTTGGTGCGTTGACCGTGCTGGTGTATTTATACTTTACTAAACATATCCCGTCGCGTCGCGACCGACGGCAGCGGCCACGAGCGCAGTGGGGTCTGGTGGGATTCACACACAGCGACTTGGGCACGCAACTGCGGGATGACGGCGTGGAGTAAGTCAGGTGGTCTCTTTCTCCCAACCCGGCACTTAGGCAAGCACAGCTGCTAATGTGGCGTATGTAAGCAGTGTCATTTTCGTGCACGGCCTGGGTGCCAACCCCGACACCACCTGGACGGCCACCCTGCCTCCCACCGAGCCTGCGTCCACCAACAAGCACGACAAGACGCAAAAGCAGGTCTGTTGGGTGACGGACTTGTGGATAGACGACATACCGGCCGCGGTGCGGCGCAAGACACGAATATTCTTCTATAACCATGACTCGGGCTGGCGGCGGGACGGGGTGCAGGCGCGATTGTCGACGCTGGCGGGCCGGCTGCTGCACGAGTTATGCGGAATGACACAGGTGAGACAGCCCGAGGCCGCGCGGCGGGGCAATGGAATGGAGGCTGACACAGAGCTCGCTGCAGGGATCGGCACGGGCGCTGGTCTTTGTCGCCCATAGCTACGGTGGGCTTCTGGTCAAGCAGGTCAGTTGAGACTCCTCTCTGGACTGTTCGGTGCATGTTGTGGACTGCACCGCCCACTTTGATGTCAAGAAACACGCAGACAAGCTGGTCACGGGCGGCTGACGACTACAGGCTCTCGTGGAAGCGAACACCTTGGGCGTCGAATGTGAGCATATTCGGCAACGGACCAAAGGCATCCTGTTTCTCGGCACCCCTCATCGGGGTTCTAACTTTACCACATTCGGGAGTTTGATAGCGTCATGCCTGCGACCAATTGGGGCGGACGCGTCAATCTTGCGAGAGTTGGACTACGACTCGACCTATTTGCATGACCTCCACACTCACTTCGTCCGAGTTGTCAAGCATGAACGCGATGCGTTCACACAGGTATTTAACATGTTCGAGCAACGGCCGACGGTGATGGTGCGGTGTGGGACGTTGCAGTGGGCCCAGCTGGTACGTATCCCGCAGTCGTGATATTAAAGACATGAGGAGGGTATTCATGGTGCGGCAGATCGTTCGCGAGAGCTCCGCCACGTATACCGGCAACCGGTATGTGCAGAACGTTGGCGTGGCGGTGGATCATAGCGGATTGAACAAGTTTGCTGCGCGCACCGATGAAGGGTACCAGACGCTGCGGACGGTGCTGCAAGATCTCCTGCCGCCAGAGCTCCCGCGGATCGAAGTGCGGCCGTTCAGTCGCGCGCCCCTGTACACTGAGCGCCTGGAGCTTTCAACGAGGGTTAGCCAGCACTTGTGGCCGTTGACCGACGGTGATGATGACGGCTTCCGCGCCCTGGTAGTTTATGGCGCGGGTGGCATGGGCAAAACGCAGCTTACACTGCAGTACATTGAAGAATACCGACACCGCTACAGTCCGATTCTGTGGTTGGACGCGTCAACGGTGCACAGCCTGCGACACAGCTTCCAGGCAGGGGCAACAGCGTTGAAGTTGTCGGTTGAGCCAAGCCCGGCCGATCAGGACGGCCCGCTGTCGCGATCGCCACTCGTGTCGCGGGTCCGAGAGTGGTTGGCGGATCGCGACGAGGGTGATGCGCGCTGGTTGGTCGTGGTGGACAATGCCGACGAGGTTGGTCATGACTTGAAGGCCATTATTCCCCGTGGACGGCGAGGTCACGTGATCGTGACGAGCCAAACGCAGCAGTCGTCCCAGCTGTTTGAAGTGCGGCCGGCGCGGCTACTGGTGGATTCAATGCAGAGCAGCGAGGCGTATACATTGCTGGTGAAGCGTATGAGAGTGAAAAGCAGGCACGTATCGGCAGAGAATGGGGAGCTGGTCGATGCGATTGCGCAGCGGATGGGATGCTTGGCGCTGGCGGTGGATATGGCAGGGGCTGGCTTGGCGGACGAGATTGATCGCGCCCATGGCGGGTCGCCGGATTTGATCCCAGTGGAGACTGTCCACAAGGTGCTGCAGCAGTATCTCCAGGACTTTGACGCGCACCGCGATGATATGCTCCGATACAGCCAACGGGATGAGTTGTCGGACTATCAGAAGACGGTATGGACCTTGTGGGACACGAGTTTCGGCGCGCTGCAGAAGGCTGGTCACTCCCGGGCACTAGAATATTTGATTCTGATGGCGCACCTCGACAGTGGTACCGCGCATCACGAGCTATTTCGGCTGGCTAGTGTAGGGTGGGAGGCCATGGTGCGTCGCATGGCGATCAATGTAAATAATTTGGTGCCCGATTGGCTTCAGACCATGCTCCAGGTGCGGGATGGAGAGTGGGATGACTTCCACTATCGGCGCGCGGTCAAGCTCTTGGAGCGATATGTGCTGGTGCAGCAAACCAAGGAGGAATGGCCGGGGACGACGATGCACCGCATGATCCAATGGCGGGCTCAGAAGGCGGGTGAGGAGGATGGAGGTGGGTGGCGGGGGTGGGTGTGGTTCGTTATGGTCGCCGCGGCCATGCAGACCAATTTCGATAAAGGGCGGCCGCGATTCCGACGGCACTTGGCCGGCAGCATAAGCGGGATGGCAATGGGCCCTGGTGACCACCCGGATTTGAACATGGTAAATGAGACGGGGCTGGCATGTGGATGGATGGAGATAGCTGAGATTTTGTACGACGAAGGCAT